CAGCACATGGTGGTCATTGTTTAGCCATGCTATTGGAGCAGATAATAAGATTCAAAGAATTTTATCAGCTGATTGAAACCCAGCAATAGAATTCTGTCACGTCAGCGTTGACAACACGTAGTGCTCCGTGTTTGGTTCTCTTTTGGATCAGACCCTGAGATTCAAAGACTTTTATCAACTGAAGCCCAGCGTAATTTCTTGACATTTTATATATATATATATATTCGAACGCATGAATATAAGCCACACTTATTTCACAAGTGTATTTTTAAGAATAATTACTATTTTATTTTAAGTTATGGCTTTACTATGGCACAAAGATGGTGAGCATCGCAAAAACACCTATCATTGACCACGTTATCCCTCTCTCTACAAAAGGATGCTGTAAGTTAAGTTTATAAAATTTTTCATGAAAAAAAATACAAACATGGAAATGGAGACCCGTTATTAGTATCTTRGGGCCGGGAGTATAAATTGAGGTTTTGGAAGAAACATGTAAGAGTGAAGGGACTAAAGCCCCGTCTACACGAACAATTCCCACGTGGCAACTTTTGTTTGCTCGTGTAGACGATCAACAAATATTTGTCAWTTTGCGTCAGTAATAATTTTGGACAGCGGAGATGCCTATGAAATGAAGGCTAGGGTACAAAGCAAGATGGCGTCAATAAAGAAAAGAACTAGATGACACAGATGACGTCAAAATAATTGCCACATTTATGTGTCGTCTCGTCCACACGGACAATTTTCGGTGTGTGGCAATTTTTTATTTGCCATGCACATAAAAACTGGTTTCCAGCAAACACATTTCAAACTTCATCGTTATCAGTCGGTACCTTTTATATGTTTGATTGAAGGCAAGGAAARACAAATTTCAGTGTGCAGCTCGCAGACGCAGAGTTCGCATGTTTATGAAAATTGCAGTTAATAAAATCTACTGATTTTTTTTCACAGCGTTTCTCGTGTGGTGGGAATCCCTGTCATCCTATGCTCGTCTATCCATCGTGGTTGCGATAGCAATCGTTATTCTCATTTTTCTTTCTGGCTGTTGCTTGTGCTGTTTTTGTCG